ATCATGGTCGTAAAGGGAACCCTTTATTTTTATGGGGTCCCGGTGTCAGCAGCATCCTGGCTGTTTTTGCTCTACCCGCCCCACAGTAATTGAGAAGCCGTATTAACTCGTTCAGAGCAGTTCTGGTCGTTAGACTTGGATAATCAATGAAACCCAAGGAGAAGTATAGATCAGTCTAGTGCTCAGGTTTGAGATTGTTTTTCTCCTTTATAAGAAAAGCGCGAGAAGGTAAGAATCACAAAATTGTGAACATGTTTTTTAGTCAAAATTTCACTCAGAAAGGGTGAGTTCAAGTATTACGTAACGCACTTGTTCCGATTGGTTGACCCCCAATTTTTATTTTCTCCAATTGAAGTATGAATATTGATTAGGAGCAGGCGAATCCATCAGTAATTTGGCAACACCGGATGTCTTCCATTTAAACCTATTCTGAATAATCGATTCTTGTCGAAGCACCTAGCTCCTCCAGGAATCAATACATTTTCATGAGCTTACATGGAGAAAAGACAATGTTGCTAATTGAGATGTTGCATGTGTGAGGGAGTTGCGATTTAACTGTAGATCCCTCTGTAAAAGTTCGCGAGAAACACGATGGCGCCACTGGTTTTCTTTGAAATCAACTCCCAAGCTAAAAAAAAAGCTATCAAAGTTGATGCTGTAATGGAGGGGATATCCCACGCTATCCTGAGAGTCCACCTCTACATCAAGACAAACTCTCTATGCAAAGATAGGGATCAAATACATTAGCAGGATTGCCGTGTTTTCAGTTGTAGAGTCCCCAAATAAAGCGGCAGCCCTGTCAATGTATTTGCTCCCTATCTTTGCATGGAGAGTTTGTCTTGATGTAGAGGTGGACTCTTAGGATAGCGTGGGATATCCCCTCCATTTTGGCCTCAACCCGAGAGCTTTTTTTGAGCTTGGGAGTTGATTTCAGAGAAAACTGGTGGCACCATCGTGTTTTTCGCAAACTTTCACATAAGAATCAGTAGTCAAATCGCAAATTCCTCACACATGGAACATCTCCATTACGGCTCCTGGAGATGGAGTTTTTTTTTCTTCTTCAGTGTAAAGGATTCGGAAGGGATTCGGTACCTTTGGGTTGAGATCGGAGCCCTGCTGCATGAGTGTGCCGATGGTGAACCAGAAGCTGTTGGAGATGGTGAACTGGGAGGCTGTCGGGTGGTTGTGCGGGTGGCAGGGGTGGGAATCGTGCCACTCTTGCGGGGAGAAGCGGGCCACGATGAACATGGTGATGGAGACGAGGGCGTAGGCGGCCAGGACGTAGAGCCAGATGTCCACCGCCAGCGGGTTCATGAACGAGAAGAGACGCGTCGGGCTGCTGCTCGGCACCTGCACGCATTGCAGCACAACCCTGATAGCACAAGTCTCCATTCAAAATCCGAAGACACGTCACAGTCGCATATAGCCGCATAGCCGCCAACCCATAAAGCGCCGCAAATACCAGGGTCACCGCCAGCGTTTTGATTAATTTTAATTTATTTTTTAGTCGGAATCTCAAAAGTCCTTTGCGTTTTACTCAGATTTAGAAAGTATAAAGATTAAAAATCCAATTATACTTGCAGGTAATAAGCTTTCAGCTTAAATGAATTCCCATTTCTTAATTTTTTTTATAAAGGATATAAACTTTCCCGCGCCGCCGTTGGAATTTATTCCCCAGCGTTAAGGCGCACGCTGAATTTGATGAAAAAAGTTTCAAAATCTGTAAAACTTCGCACACAATAGATGTACAGCAGATTCCAACTTTAGCCATTGAAATAATAAAAAATATCCTCACATTACATGTGATAACTAAAACCGTACGAGTTCAATCATTTAATTCTTTGGTATACTTTCCCTATAAAGAGGGAATCATGATTGTCCCTCAGCGAAGAATACTGTTTAGTCGTAGATCCCCCATTCACAGTTCAAGGGTCGTGGCGCCGTACTGAAAAAGGCTCCGCAGACGGTCATTTTGTCGATTTAGATCCTTTATCTAAAGCCTAACTCACATCGACGGCGATCCTTTTTGCTGGCGCTTCAAATGCACTGCTGGCCGGTCGAGAAGTCAAAGTGCCTTCAATTATGGATGTATGCAACACGCATATCCACTGAGCTCGAATAGTTGCATCCTGACGAAAACATCGACAACGCGTCGCGCACCGTTCATAGGTTGAGATGCTACCGTTGGCAAAATGTTCCAATTCTGTTTGACACTGAGATTATAGGACGCTCTCCTTTATTTTAATGATAAGAAGTTGTTCTGTTGACTCAAACTGTTAAAGAGAGAAGAGAAGGAATAAAGCTCTGGTCATTCAACAAGTCCGCATCCAAGACAGAAATTGCTCACGTGAAAAACTTAGGATTAAGGGAATGGCTTTTAAAGTGCAGAGAAGCCTATATAAACTGCATTCGCATGCTTCACTCAGAGTTAGCTTCTCAAACTCATCGGAAATACGAAAGATAATGAAAACAGCAAACGCAAAACTTCAGGGAAATTTTAAGTAGACAAACTACAAAATCTGTGAAATACGCAAATCTGTTGAATGAATTGAAATTGGCTTGCATCCCAAAATTCTTTGATTAGATTTTAATTCAAGCAATTATTAAACTTAGAAACCAACCCTCTTATTAGTCATGTGCGAAAGCTTCCTAAGGAGAAATGTGAACTTTCCCATCCCACATATAACAACCCTTGCGGGTAATTCCATTTTTTGTCAGCACCAGTAGTGAGGTTTTCTGCCTCAGCATTTGAGAGAAGCAGAATAGACACGAAGGCATCATATAGGGGTCGCGGATTCTGCTATTTTACTCTTAATTTTTGAGGTAGGTCAGAAAACACCCTCTGTGCAGCAATTCATTTGAGAATTTGTGTTTTGTTATTGTCTGTAAATCTCGGGTCTTTGTAAAATGTGTCAATGCCAACTGGTTTGATTTTAGGTCTGTTTTTCTATTCAAGTCTCCATGCTTGATTTCAAACGACACTTCACTCTTAAATTTCCTTTTAAGAAAGCAGTGCTCTCTTGACGTTTTTTTAGGAAACGCAGCTGAAGGCAAGAACTAGAAAAGAAGAGAGAACCAATCTCATCTTAAAGTGTCATTTTAAGCGATTTATTTATAGGCTCGTTAAGAAAAGTTGACTCGTCACAGACTGTGCTATGAACTCATAAAGAGCTATAAGTATTGATAAAAGCCGAAATTTTAAGAGCATTCTTTCAACTACTAAATGCATACATACTGATTTTTCTAGATAGTGATGTAAATAAAGAAGAGCTAAAATCTAATCAATCTCAAGAGTCACCAAGGAAACGCAAACGAGAGAAGATGCTGTGTGTATAATCATGCTCAAGGCAGGCACAAAATGACCGGTAGATATACTCGTGAAACTCCAAATACCCTTTAAAGTTATCTCGACGGTTTCAGGCACGTGATACATCTCGTAAGAGGTGCTAAAACTTTCACTTTTGATCAACTTTTTTAAATTTAAAATGTTTTTAGTTATGAATCGTGACCAGGACTTTGAACTCTCCTTTACGCTTAAGTGTAGTACTTGGACTCAGCTTACAGGTATTAGACTGTAACTCACGTTAAGACAGGAATACGTTACGCACAACCACGCCGTGCCGATCAAATGCCGCGACATAAAAGTTCCTTCAATTGATCCACTATGCAAAAAGCGTACTCTGGTGCCCGATTAGTGGTATCGCTTAGTTTCTAAAGATTTGTAAGTTGTATTGTAAATTTTCGCACTTTCTAAGATCTGGTTGTTTCCCAATAATTGATAAAAAAAACCTCTGCAACTGATAATTACCATTGCGATCCAGGTAATAGCGGTTCGCACCAGTTTCTGACATGTTGCAAATGTTCATCCCAAAGATTTGGCCAATGCAACCCAACGAAAAATAAACCAGAATATACTGTCCGGATGTTTAGGTCATACATTGTATTCTACTTCCCATGTTCACACCAAATGGACCGCATCAAGCAGAAAAGAACCAAGCTACATCAACAATTGCCAAATTTAATCAGGCAATTCAATTTTTACATGAAAACGTCGTGCACATTTTTGTGCAAATTTCAGTGAATTTTTTGCATAGCACGAAGCAAATTCCTTAAAATTTTAAAGGAATCCGCACCAAAGTGTTCTTGTAAAAAATTAAATTGCCGAGTTCAATTTGGCAATGGCCGATGAGGCTCGGTTCCTTTCCGCTAAACGCGGTCCAGATGTCGGTTAATTTTTCTTACAGCGTGCGAAATGAGGAATACATTCTCTTTCAAGCTTGTATATTGTTTACTTCTCTGTTAAAAATATGAATCGTGAAAGGAATTTAGACAAAATGCGAGGTAGTTACGCTGTTTCCAGTTAAATCCGTGAAAGTATTTTTATTTTTGTCAAGTCATCTCTGAAAAAAAAAATTACGGGCTATATAGACATACCGTCCGTTCCGGGCTCAGAGGCCGAGAATTCCGGGTGCTAGCCGTAGCTTCGATTGCTCCGGATGCCACGCCCGGAACTTTCGGCCTCTAAGCCCGAAACGCGGACGGTATGTCTACGTAGCCCGTAAGTACGATTTCCACGGCCGGATTTTTCCCTGGAGTCCCGTTATACTGAGAGTCAAGACAAAGTGAATCCATTTCTGATTGGTTCCCGTATTTTAAGCCTTCACAGTGTCACAAACGGGAATAAAGATTACATTTTCACCGATTGCAAATATTATAATCTGGAATGGACCAGGGAATTACGGGTTTGGCGAGGAACAAACGGAACGAGAGAAGGATCGGAGAAAGGAATTTGAGAATGGACCGATCAAAGATTACAAAAAACGTTCAATTTCTGTAATCTTTATTCCCGTTTGTGACTCCATGAGGGGGTGTTGTCTTGACTCTCAGTATAGAGGGACTCCAGTTTTTCCCAGTGAGCCTGAATTGCATTCTGGATTTTTGAAACGATAACTTGAAAGGGTACTCGGAGCATGACGAGTTGGTATCTGGCGGTGGAGCACCTGAGGGCTAACTCCTGATCCCTGGCGAAGGAGAACGCCGAAGATGAACCAAACGCAGTTGGAGAGAGTTAGGCGGCGGGAGAGCGGGGGCCAGAGCCGCGGCGGTCGCCGTGGCTGGGTCTCGGGTTCGAGCCCCGGGCGGAGGAGTGGCGGCCGCGGTTTGGGGCACTCGTACGGGGAGACGCGGGCCACGAGCATGAGCGAGACGCTGACGACGATCAGCGCGACGGAGACCAGGGCCCAGGTCTCCCGCCCGAACGGGTGCATGAACGTGAACAGTTTCGACTCTTTCTCCGTCGGCACCTGCATCAGTACCGCCGCACGGGTCAGGGATCATCCCGCATGGACGCATTTAAGGTGATTCGTCAAGCTCAAAATAAGTGGTCGAACTGGCATGCGATATATCGCATCCTTCAGGTCAAAAATCTCGGCAGATTTTGAATTTTTAGCAAAACAGAGGACGACAGCCCCTGCGCATGAGCCTAAAGAATCATTCTAAACCCAAGAATCGGCAAAATTCAGAGAAATGAATGCAGAATCGTGTTTGGAAAAAAACCTCGCATTCGATTCAGCTATCGATTTCTGTATCGAAAGCGAGGTTTTTTGCCAAATGCTATTCTGCTTTCATTTCTCTGGATTTTCCCGATTCTTGGGTTTAGAACGATTCTTCAGACTCATGCACAGGGGCTGTCGTCCTCTGTTTTGCTAAACATTCAAAATCTGCCGAGATTTTTGACCTGACCGATGCGTTATATCGCATGCCAGTTCGACCACGCCACTTGTACTTGAAGAATCACCTTAAATCAAAAGGCACTATATTCATTCGGACCGATTATTGAAATTGATAGAAAAAGCTATAGACAAAGAAGACCAAAGAGATATGGGGGGATTCTATTGGTGAAAGCGAGTGGTTGTAATGGACAAAGGAGGTAGGTAATAGACTAAGTGAAGGCAACCCACGAGGGACCCGATAGTTAGTCCATCATTTTCTCCTTTAGTCCACAGGAACCACCCATTTCAACCGATAGGATGCTCCATACTCCCTATGCCTTCTTTGTCTATCGCTTTGTCTATCTATTTTAATAATCGGCCCGCTGGTTTGAGCCCTAAGATCCATAAAAGTATATGCAAAATAGGGTTCATGTCAAAATAGATATCGGCGGTGAAATAAACCACCAGACCACGTACCTCGTTTGCGATGTTTAAAAATCCCTGCTTCCATTGTATATTTTTGAAGGAGAACAAATCTATATCATTTCTTGAAAGTTCCTTAGAATTTTCCTCGCATATAGAGGAAGAAACACGGAAGTTCCCTATAATTGGTTTTGATTAGTTTTCCATTTGGAGAATAAAGTATGTCAGGAAGTCTACAATGTCGCAAACCGAGATACGTGGTATGGTAGTTTCACGGCCGATATAGTTCCTTTTGATTTAAATACGTCCGAATCACGCTAAAGGAAGGGTATTCTGCCATACTAAAGTAGAACAACGTATGAACCCCCAGGCGTTGCCAAATTTGCTTTGATTAAATACGAATTTATTAGGAAAGTTGGAAGTATTTTTCTCCCTATTTTTCAGACAATTTTGTTCGCAATTTCATGTAAAGTATCCGGAAATTTCACGGAAAACTGTGTCCTATTCCGGGAAATTTAGCAACTTTTAATGCTCATAAGGCGTTCTTCCTTAGCATGACAGTATTGATAAGAGCCAAAATCGCCCCGCTCCTGGAATTCCGAGATTTATCGATATTTTGTAATTGCTGAGGTATGTTTTACAGGAACATTTTTGTTTCAGCGAGACTCACATTTTTGGTCTTTTAAATGGAGGCCAAAATTTGGGTCTGAAGTCCAAATTCCACACTAATTTGCGTTAACATCAAGTTTCACACCATGTTTACTGTTGTGCCTAAAAGTGAAGGTCAACCATCTTTACAAATTTTACGTTTCGAGAGGTTTCAAATAACATATCCAAAGCTCGTCGGTTACACCTTCGGGCCCAGCATAAAATCTGACGTGGAGTGGTACATTAAAATAACGCGAATTTTCGTGGATTTTGGCCTCCTGACCCTCGTTTGGGCCTCATTTTTGATGCCAAAGTACTCGGGTGTCGCCAGAATACAAACATTCCTGTAAATAATATAGTTCATCGATTACGAAATATCGAAAAAGCGCGGCATGCCGGGAGTGAGCTGATTTTGGCCCGTACTGATACCTTACTCCTCTTTTGCTGACCGAAAAAAATTAGGATGTTCGATTGACACCCTGGTGGTTAAAAAGTGAGCAACGACCTCAAAATGTCTGTCAAAACTGCCTCTGTAGTTAACTTCCTCCGGACGTGATTATAATNCGGGGGGGGGGGGGGGGGGGAGGGGGGCAGCGCGCAGTGGCGTGGCGTACCATGCTAGGGATCTAGAAGCAAAGTGGATACTCGGTACTCGCATACCCCCTCTGAAGGCAGAAAACAATAGAATCTCCCAACCAGCCAATGAGAGTCTCGGATTGTGGACTAGTCGCACCGGAGCACGAAATGGACTATAGTTCCGTTGCGCAGAGTATTATGGGAGAATATGAATCTCGTGCAGTCGAAAGAGCAGTGAGTTTTCCCGTCATTTCAGACCTTCACTTCGAGCTCGATTATTGCATTGAGAAAAATTATTATTCGGATGAAAGTTTTAGAACACATACATACGCGCTGTTAATACATTTCATCCATAAAAACTTTTCATTTCTACTCTCACAAAGAGAACTCGCGTCCAGAAAAACGGGATTTCCTTATAAGAATACGTAGCGATTTGAATTCCCGCTACGCACGAATAGTTCACGGCTATATTGTACGAGTAACCACTTCGCTTCTAGATCTTTATACTATGCGATGGAGGATTGATATACAGGGTGTTCGCAATGAGCACCTTAAAATCGATTCTTTACCATAGCTTCAAATGGGGAATAACGATAATCGATCATTCACGCCTTGCNGGGGGGGGGGGGGGGGTTGAGATAAAAGTTTTGAGGTAGTCGCATATTTTTCTATAACAACCAGGATGTTAATTCAACGTCCAAATTTTTTTCTATGCAATTTTTGACACACCCTCCTTCCTCTGTCTCATCAAGGCGTCTTGCATTTTGCGTTTCCTTACCCCCATGGGTGACCGAATCTCTACATTAAGAGAGGATCAATTGTATCCTTTTTGATGATGATGCATTCTTTTCACCACCATTCCATGAAAAAGTTCATAGACAGCCAACGAAAAACACACCGAATGGCCAGGAAGATACGTTGTTCTTCAAATTTTGGTGATAAAATATCACGTTTGCCCGAAGAAGTTTATCATGTGTTTCTGTGTTTTCTCCTCCTAGAGGGAATTTCGGCACCATGCACTTGCAGCGTTGGCAAATAAAGCTATGTCGGCATCGTATAACAAAAGGAGATAAATTACGTTGGAAAAATCGAGGCGTAAGGAGGCTGACTCTTCTAAATTACTATCATCGCAAAGTATCGAATTGAATGAAGATAAGCTATCAAAAAACTCGACTTTCTCCCTCTTGCTCCATAGTTCGAAGGCTATATTAAATTCTTTACCCCCAAGAATCACCCTTATCTAAGTGCGAGAACAACGGCGATTGTTCAGGATTTTCATATCATACGCCATCCAGTTCTACAAGATATATAAAAGTCAATATAGTATTGATTCCGCTCGCTCAAGAACTCACTTCATTCATATACTAAAGCTGATGAAATAAATTGAATAATGATACCCGAATTTTCATTATACGTAGCAAATTCAAAATCTGAACGGTGGATAGAGTTTTTCGCCATGAGAGTTTTGATTTGATGTTTGTTTGATTATTTCCGTGGACCAATGTTTTAAAGAAAATTATTTGGCAAGGGCTAGTGAAAAGAGGAGAACAAGTACCTTGAAAAGTATGCTGATTCCGAGATTCATGAAAGGCTTCGTGAAATCAATGACGCTTTCTCGAGCATAGTTGATCGTCATGGAACCAACTGCAAGATCTGCTTTCTGAAAAGAATGAAATGAAGGAAATGATTTATATGTAGAAAGTCTCTTGGGTATTAGAATTCTATGGTAACTTCATATGCTCCGCGATTTTATTATTGGCCCAAATCTTTGTTTTTCACTCATAAAAATACCCATTTAGTCCGCAAATAAATGAAGGGTGTAATTGCTAGTCAGAAAAATCATATTTTAATAGAAGGTTTTAAATAATAGGAAAAAGTCGGACCAATCAGTGAAAATAACGTATTTCATTCGAAAAATACGCCAAAAGCATGGAGACATTATTTTTTTTATCTCTGTATAAGTCACAAAGCACATTGCTGTCGGATAGTTAAAGTTCTGCGTAAAAACACCATTATTACAGCGAGGCGAATGCTCTTTAGAGTGGCTGAAGCAACTCCTGTGAATGACTAAAACTCTACTTCAACGGCCCTTAAAAGTTTTGATATCCCTGGTAAAAATTGGCAGTAGAATCTGTGTTCCAAAATACCATAGACCAGCAGCCGGCTGTAATATTTCCAATAGCTTCTATAGCCGGCAACACAATTTCTTATAGCCTTTTATAGCCGATAGCGACTAAGCAACAGCCCGGCGATAAAGTGTATGCTAAACGTTACTAATTACGGATGCTAGGACTTAGTGAGTTTTTGGACTACCGCTCTCTTTTTGGGCCATAGTATCTTGATTTATTTTGCGAGGAAAGCTCCGTACTTTTGAAGGATGCCTGCCATTCCTAATATGTTGGAGCGCCTTCAATTTCGTATGATACTGTGCAATACCTCTGGTGTGAAATAGTTGCTTCAAGCGCCGTGGTATGCTGCGGCGAGGCGCGGCGGGCGGGCAGCCAGCGCGAAACGCGCATTGGCGCCTACAAACCTAACTGGGATACTTCACTGGGTATTGCGTAATGCGAAAATATAATGTGCGTTTTGTAAATATTAAGGTGATTCCGTACAAACTTAAGGATTTACAAAGCACACGAATTTCTACATAATTTCTTATAGCCTTTTATAGCCGATGGCGAAAAAGCAACTGCCAGGCGATAAAGTGTAAAGCCCGGCGATAGGAACTATAGCCCGGCTGTATAATTTTTTATCGCTTCGTGCAGCCCGGCCGTAAGATCATTTTCACTTTCTACAGCCAGCTATATGAGTTTCTATCGCCTTCTTCAGTCGGCTATAAGAACTCCTATGGTATTTTGAAACGCAGCTCCTATCGCCAATTTTTACCAGGAATATGAGTCTTTCATACGCTTTTTTAAAGGTTGCCCTCAACTATACTATCGTTACGTGTAACATTTCAGTTAATTACACATTTTCTATGTTACAAGATAACTGAAATCCAAAAATTAAATTATTTTCGAGAAACAGAATTCCTAACTCGGCTAAATCAATTTTATGCCTCAACTTGAGAAACAATTTACTCTCGGAAAATCACTAATTTCTAATAAAAGCGAGCTAACACTATAGGTCCTTTGTGCCAAAACTACTATTGGGTGATTATGTGCGTCTAATATGTGTGTCTATTCATTACCCGAATTTAAGATGTTTCAAGTTAGGGTGAAGGAAAAAACAAGCAATTAGTAGAATTGACTAAACGCATGTGATAGGTTTTGACCAGAAAATCTTGCGTATTTAAATTCTCAAAGATTCAGACGACCTTCCGAGAACATAGTTTTGAAGAACCTGTTAGGCAAAATGAGATCAACTCTGTAGAGAAGACACGGGTCTGAAATAGAAGAATATATGATTACGTTCTTATATAGTATATTACTCAGATACGGCTTTTATTGTCATTTCAAACACAAGTACAGGGTTGCTTCTTACTAACTGATTACTTGAACATGATCGTTCAAATGACTACGCTTAGTCGATTGAAACCACATTCTAAGGCGAGACGACAATTTTGCAAAAACAGTTCTCCTCTGCCGATTACTGATGAACTCTCTACTTGAAGGCATAATTGATTATTGGTTGGATTTTTGATCCGCTGAATTTATATAAGTCTCAGGCAGTAGGTAATAGTTGCCAGTAATTTACAAGCAGCCTGCTTGTCGCCTCCTCACATTGCAGTGGTTCGCCTTGACTAAGGGTATGTTCGATTGGCAAGAAACTTTAAAAGCAAGATCTGGGCTTGCAGCGCCTTCAAATTCCCTTGATACTCTCCGCTTTGCTGGTCAGTTTACGTACAATTGCTTCTTTACTTGTAAATGTTTACATTTTTTCAAAAATATAAACAGATTGCAATTTTTTGGGTATTGCTAATCGCCTGCGATACATACATGCAAACGTCCAAGTATTACGTGACACTCATAGGGGCGAGACATAGGAGAATCCAGCGAATTTGCAACATTGTTTTTTCTCCACTTAAATCTATGAGAATGTATCGATTCTTAGAAGGGCCAGATGCTTCGACAAGAATCGATTATTAAACATAGGTTTAAAAGAAGGAAATCCGGTGTTGCCAAATTTCTGGATCAGCTTCTGGGACAAGGGAAGCTTGAGCATGTACGGTACGTTGCACAAGACGGGAAGGAAACATCCAGCGTCTTGCAAGTATCCAGAGGTATCAAACATTTATTTTCTCCAATTGAAGTATGAACATTGATTCGGAGCAGGCGAATTCATCAGTAATTTGGCAACACCGGATGTCTTCCATTTAAACCTATTCTGAATAATCGACTCTTGCCGAAGCACCTGGCTCCTCCAGGAATTAATACATTTCCATGAGCTTACATGGAGAAAAGACAATAATGCTAATGGAGATGTTGCATGTGTGAGGAATTTGCAATTTGACTACTGATTCTTATGAAAAGTTCGCGAGAAACACGATGGTGCAACTGGTTTTCTCTGAAATCAACTCCCAAGCTCAAAAAAAGCTATCAAAGTTGATGCTGTAATGGAGGGGATATCCCACGCTATCCTGAGAGTCCATCTCTACATCAAGACGAACTCTTCATGCAAAGATAGGGAGCAAATACATTAGCAAGGATGCCGTTTTTTCAGTTTTAGAGTCTCCAAATAAAGTGGCAGCCCTGTCAATGTATTTGCTCCCTATCTTTGCATGGAGAGTTCGTCTTGATTTAGAGATGGAGTCCCAGGATAGCGTGGGGTATCCCCTCCATTACAGCCTGAACTTTGATAGCTTTTTTTGAGCTTGAAAGTTTATTTCAGTGACAACCAGTGGGACCATCGTGTTTCTCGCGAACTTTTACATAAGAATCAGTAGTCAAATCGCAAATTTCTCACACATGCAAAATCTCCATTAGCAACATTGTCTTTTCTCCATGTAAGCTCATGGAAATATATTGATCCCTGGAGGAGCTAGGTGCTTCGACAAGAGTCGATTATTCAGAATAGGTTTAAATTGAAGACATCCGGTGTTGCCAAATTACTGATGGATTCGCCTGCTCCTAACCAATATTGTCAAATTGCAAATTCCTCACACATGCAACATCTCCATTTGCTGAATCCGGCAGTGAGGGATGGTGGGTTGAAAATAGCGGAAAAATCGGGTCACGGAATACTCGAACGCCCTGTAGATGGTTGGTTTACCTTGTCCATGAGCTGGCGGACAATGCCGTTCCACTCGCCGGTCTCGTAGTCGAAGACCCCGTATTTCCCGTCGGGCACTAGCTCGATGGTATAGTCGAAGCGGACCATGTTCGAGATCTTTTGCAACAGGTCGATGCAAAATCCCTGGTAGCGCTCGTTCCCGGTCAGGTTCACCGGGGGGTCTCGGTGCATGACGTAAGGCATTTCCTACACCGCCCAGGCGGCCACACAAACACAGCTACGTCAATCAGGGAACACACAACTACGTCCAGCCTACAGCTGGAGTGAGCTAAGCAATTACGGTGTTTCTAAAATCTGTCGCTAGGGGTTGGTATCGTTACGTGGGGTTGGAGATTCTCAGACTTATGGATACAAATTTTGGGTGTGAAATGTGACTAATTAAGTGATAATAGAAAGAGATGGAGGAACACTGAAAAAAAATTCTCGGCGTTTTTACCAAGGTCCGTTGGTACCTTTACCATCTCATTTTTTTACCAATTATTGGTAATTTTACCAAGACAAACTGGTTAGCTTACCTAAAAACCGGTATTTTTACTGTTTTTTTCAGGTAAGAATACCAATTTTATTGGTTATCAATTCCCGGTAACTTTGCCATTTTATCTCGGTAATTCTACCACAGTCAATAAAAAATATTGGCGTTTTTACTAAGGTTCAGTAAAATTACCGAGAGAGTTCGATTATCTTACCGAAATTTCTCGGTAAAATTACCAACTCCATAAGTGGTAATTTTACCAAGAAAAAACTGGGATCAAATAGAACCCTGAATTCTTGGTAATTTTACCCTTTTCTTAGTAAATACACCGAGATTTTTTTTTCAGTGAAGAATAATAGCTAGCCCTGCTAAAATGACCAGTGAAATGGACCACGTTAAGCAGAAAGGAACAAAGCCACACCAGCTATTGATACATTTAGTTGAGCAATTTAATTTTCTACATGGAAACGGTTGTGCAGATTCTTGTGCAAATTTCAGTGAGTTTTCTGCATAGTACGAGGCAAATTTCCTAATTTTTTTAAAGAAATCCGCACAAACGCTCTCTTGTAAAAATTTAAATTACCCAGTTAAAGTTAGCAATAGCTGATGTGGCTTGATTCCTTCCTGCTAAACGAGGTCCAAATAAGGTAACATGTTGATGCCAACATTGTGCCAACATACTACCAATGCGGTATCATGTTGAAATCAGTATGTTACAATGTTACAAGGATGGGACCAACACGGAAACATACTGATTTCATAGTGGTCTCTTCAACCAAGGTGGTAAATATTGCTACAACATACTAACTCCAACATGGTTCGTAGTTCGTTCAGACGATGTTGGTAACAATTTCAGAATTCACAAGTTAGGTACAGTAGGAATTTCCAAAATTAATTTTTTCGTAGCTCACACAGTGGTATCAATGACATGCTTCCTCAAACTTCGGTCGATTGTGCTGTTCAGTAAATTTAATTTACTGCAGCTAGTTGGAAGACCTAATTCCAGCATAGCTGCACTTAGTGCGAAATGACACGAGAGAAGTTATTCTTTGAATACACCAATGCCAAAATACTAATTTTTCGCAAAACTCTCAAAAATATTTTTCATTGAATTTTTAGAGAATTTCTGAGTGATTCAATCTTGTGCACCTGAAAATTTCAATGAATCATCTAATGACATTCTTCAAAATTAAATAATCTATTTGACAACTTCCAAATGCATGTACGATTTTTTCTCCTAGTAAGATAGTCTAGTTCGTCGGAAGAACACGGACCACAAGCCTCGAGCATTCGGTTCTTCCATGAATCGATAAGTTGTAATTTCATCGGAGGAATTTGCAAAATGAATGAGCGATACAATTTCCTCGTTCAAGCGCTCATTTTAGGCGCAACCCTCCGACCCCTACCTCGGGGGAGATTTAAGTAAATCCGTGGCAGCGAAAATATTATCGATATAATCAGAGGCTTAGAGGACATTCGTATTCCGGATTCATAAAATTCCGCGACGGCCATCAGTCACTCGCCGGTGCCCCGGACTCCGGAACGGATGCAAATGAGAGCGGCTACGGAGAATCAATATCCGAGATTGAGCGATGAGGTGGATGAAAAATGAAACGAGGCGCCTCCATCGCGGTTTAGTGCTAATCTTCCCGATTGCTCGACGATGTTTCAGCGTGAAGAGCGATTTTAAATGGGAGCTATTTAACAGCCGGCATGGGGAATTTTGAAAAAGAGACGTGTGTGAAAAAGTTTATTACTGGTGTCATATGTGAGCAGAGACTCATATGAAATGGAAACTGGGTGAAGACAGCTAGACGCCGTGCCTGATTGAAATGAGCTGCACTCAAAGACCACTTACGACTCCATTAACACTAGGCGGACCAACCTGGGTCCTTTCGACTCGAGGTTTGCCATTTTTGGATGTACCTGAGTAAAAGGGTCATACTTACACCAGAAGTTGTGAGGGGGAAGGGGAGCACATGTCAATGGCTAAAGTGCAAAATCCCGTACATCTCGGAAAGGAGGAATGAGAAAAAAACATGGAAAAGAAGAAGGGGGAAAAGGGGTGAGAGTGGACGAAGGGAAGCCAACAGTGGAAAAGAAGGCGAGTGAAAGGAGGTGGATGAAAAAAAGGGGAAAAAAGAAGGAGAAAAGGAATGGAATCGAAGAAGAAGAAGAAGAAGAAGAAGAAGAAGAAGGAGAGGGCAAGAATGAAGAAAAAAGAAGAGAGGAAACACATTTGCAAAGAATTCCTGCAAGAATTCTTCGATTAAAGTGATACTTTGTGAAAATTTTTCCGATGTCACATCGTTTTCCAAAAATTCTCTGCCTAGAATCTAAATAAAAAGTACTCCAACGAATATTCTCCATTAAATGATTCATAATTTGATTTTATGATTGAATGATGAATAAATATTTAATAATTTCAAGTCGCAACCTCCTTTGGTTAATACTTAATTTTAAGAATGTCAGGAACCTAGAAGGAAGTATCTCAGATTTTGCATTCAGTCCGGAGGCTAGTATACTCGTTTCATGGACTGGGCACAATTTATTCCGTAAGATTATTTCAGTTTTTGCTAATTACCTTGCAGCTTTAAATCAATAAATATTAAATGGTGAATGATAACGCTACAATATCAATAAACAAAACAAGCAGGAAGCTCCAACGCATTCGCGTCGGAAAGCGGCTCTGGCGACGGTAGGTAGTTGTTACGCGTTTACGGTTTCCTTGGTAACCTTTGTTTGCTATCAGCTGATGTCGAGTAGTATGACTAGGAAGCTCCAACCACGGCATTCTTCGAAAAAAGCGCGAAAACTTATAGATTTGAATTTTCAAATTTTAAACGTAAAGTACATTTTTTCCAGTGCGAGATTAAAGCACAGACCCGTTTTGAATTATTGACAGTATCACCATGATTCCAAAAATACACTACACAACATAGCATTCGCTCACAGGAAAAAGATATCAATTAAAATAAAATCAGTCCCCCCTAAACAGCAGAAAATGGCGCCGATTCCCATCAACCAACACGCGGTCTCTCCAATGTAACATGGTCCGTTGATACTCCCCAGCTGGGACCGTCCGGAATAGCAGCTCTAGTGCAAGCACCAGAGCCGCTAAAAAGAGAGGGGACAAGGGCAAGAACTATTCTTACGGGGAGTTCAAATTATCCCATTTGATTTTTCACTCGAATCGAATACTGGAAAGTGGTCAATTTGATGACACATGCCTCGCAAATGACACGGACTCTGAGTGCGAGCAAATGATATTTCATGGCAACGAAGAGGATTTAGAGGACTTAAATCCGCTAGTCCGGGCGTGTGAATAGTCGTCACACACTGCAGGAAAACAGCAGTAAGTGCACCCCGGTGTGACCCGTGGTTCAGATCCCTTCTTATGCACTTCAAGGCTCACCGCGAAACCTAGTTACTGCTGTATCCCGGAAGACGGGGAGCTAACCTGTCAACCAATCGGGATCAGTGACTGTAATATGATAGTCCTGTCAACCTTTTGCCCACTGGCTTCGGTCGAAACATCACGTTCCGAGTTTTATGCGCGTCTCAAACGTGCGAGTTTTTTTATGAGCTGCATAAACGAGATTTCTGCTCGGGTCGGTTTTTTATAAAGCGGAAGCCGGGATATTCCTGATTACGCGCCGGAAAACGACACGGTTGATGTAGAAAGGTTTTATTTTGTTTTACAAGAAAAACAGTTTTAAGAGATAACTAGGGGTAATTTTGAGAAACTTTATAAAACAATCGGTGCAACTACGGTTCTGGAGAACCTATTTTCAATGTTTTAAAGAAGTTTTACTTTCTTGCTTTGTCATCCAAAAAAAGATAAAAAAAAGAGAGTAAAAAGATAAAATATAATTTCCAGTTTATTTCTGTTTTTAAAGAGAAGAAATTTAAAATAAAACCAATTATATATAAAAAAAAAAATATTTAAGGATTATTTTCAGGAAAAAATCAAAAATGATTTTATAAAACCTGATAAAAATGTTTTAAAGCGTCATAACATAAATTACTTTCCTTCTTCCTTTTAATAAGATGTTATCAGGGAAAGAGCGCACTTCTCGTTGAACCTCTGACTTAAAGGTGTATCTCAATTCCGAGGTAAGCCCTGTTTTACATATTTTTTCATGGTTTCTGTGACTCATATGGAAATTGAGATAACTATTACGTCAGCGGAGCGACGAATTGCAGTTGGACGTTCAACCATTTTGTCGTCTCTTTGGCGTAAGGGCGTATCCCGATTTCCATGGGAGCCCTATTTTCCATATGAATCCATGCTATTGAGGTCTCATGAGAGAATTTAGATACGTCCTTGCGTCAAAGGGGCGACGATTTATGGTTAAATATTCTTGAGCCTTTCAGACGGTGCAAGAAAGTAAGAGAAGAGTCAACAAGTTACTTTCTTCAAAGAGGTCCTCTTATTGAATTTTGTGCGTTGGCCAAGGAAACAAACCCAAACTCAAAGACTGCAAGGAAAATTTGGCATACGGTTACAGCTTCGATGTTTATGCTTGGCCGTCAGAAAAAACGGCTTGCTACACGCTCCGAACCAATTACCCGTGAATTTATTCGGGTCGAGGGGTCCTTTCTCTTTTCGAGGGCAATGAGGTCTTCGGCAAAGTTCATTCCGCTCGCCTTTGACGCTGTAAAGTTTTCTGCTCTTGACTTCACAGAGCGGTTTGTACAAAATGAATTTGCGATGTCTTTGAGAGGATAATTCCAATTCCAATCGCTGTTGCTAAATTACGTCGATAAAACGGCGTAATTTCTGGCATGTCACACGATTTTACTCCGAGAAAGAGGAGGGAAATGAAAAACTTAATTTTTATTCACTTTGAAAAAACATTTGATCCGGCATATCACCAGCAAACAAGTTCTTTTTGCGCTGAGTAAGACACTTATGGAGGAAAGGAAGCGACTGTTTTGTCATGAAAAAGTGAGCGTGACTCTAGAAAGTTTAAACTTATTGTGATAGAACTCGTTTAGTTGTAAGTGGGTGATGGAATCGTTTGATTTTACCGTTTTCTTTGCAACAAAGACGATTTTCCTCCTCGCGGTAGATAATAATTTTGAGTTTTTTCATTTATTTTTATATAAATGTTGTTTTTTGATTCATTCGGACCTCAAACCGTGAAAATTTCAAATCACCGTATACGTTGCACTATAGTCTGGGAGCGCCAAAAAGCCGATTTTTGAAAGTTCAAAAATCTTTCAACCGAGCTCGCAGTCCTCTTTACATGCAACCTGTGACAGACTGTGCAATGACCCATTATAATAAATGAATGCAATATGTGACATACTTTATCATCATGAGCGGAAAAAATTGAGGGAGTTCCAGCTTTTTCAAAGCATAGGTCTGGATGCAACTATTCGTGTTCTTGGGATGTCCGTGTTGCATATACACAAAATTGCAGGCGCTCCGGTTGCGCACGCTCCTTAGGCGCAGCGTAAAGCTGCGGTTATAAGTTCTCAAACGTTTCCTATGTTGCATGCAGGATCGTGTTTACCATGAAATCCTTCAGATTTGGATGAGTCATGTAGCACCATAGCAGCATTGCCAAATGGTGCAAATTTCAGAAATGTTATTTATAGTGATTTAAGGAATTGATACCCGCCATGGCTTTATGACAATATTTTTTATGGAAAAATTTGCACCACTTGGCGACGCTACCGTGATGTAACTCTCCTTATTCGGACTCCGAGGATTTCATGATAAACATGATTGTAAAGAACAGGGTGGTAGAATTGTGGACGGTCCACATTATTCTGAGGGGAGATTGTAAATGCAACGCGAAAAACCCTTGAGAACTAACAAGCGCAATCAAACGTTGTGCTCAAGAAAGCCATAGCGCCTACAATGTTCCGTGTATGCAACACGGACATCCTAAGAACACGAATAGTTGCATCATGACCCAACCATTGAAAAAGCCGGAGCGCCTTCAATTTTTTCCGCTTAAGATGATAAAATGTGTCACACAATGCATTCATACGTCGATGCACGAGCTGAGGGCGCGTTGTTGACGGCTGTGAATTATTCTGTTTTACCATGTTGTCTATCAATCCTGGATTCGTACAGTTTAAACGTTTATACCTTAGATCTACCTCCAATTGCACCATTATTGGCGGACAACTGTCGCCATCGACGAATGGACTATCTCATGAAACTGGTGATTATAAAGGGTGTCGCATTTCAAGGGTATTATAATGCTAACAAAATCTGAGGGGAACTTGTTTTGTGCAAGTATATATGGTGCACTACCTAATATTACCGGGACGGTTGGCGAGGTCACTATGTCACGTGGCTTTGTGTGGAAGTAAATCTACGCCTGGGTAAATTGGAGAAACAGTGATCATAATTGCGAACTTTGATTATCAATAGGCTAAGAGTGTTGTGTTAATTGCGTGTGTTCAAGAGGAGGGCTTCAAGGATCCTAGTTTTTGAAATAATGCCATCTTTGATGTTAGTTTGACTAAGAAATCAATGATTGGAAAGGAAGACTTAAAGTAAAGTGAGGATGAATTTACCACTCAAAGGTGAATTCCGTACCATTTACCATTTACAGAGGAATTGTTTCTTGAATCTGTTTGAAAATTTCATAGAATTTTATCGGCAGCGCAAAGAAAATTCGGTGAAATTTCGGACAGCTTCGTCGAGCAATTTTTCTGTAGGAAAATAAAATGGCGGCAGAAATTTTGAAACTTCGCACGGCGTTTGTGATGCTTTTGGACCAATTTTGTAACGCAGAGGGCCTTTTAAAGTTTAAATATTTTTATTGAGATCCTTGGAGCCGTCCAACTGTGGCCGAAAGTCTAAAAAAGCGAAAAGCGGGGTATTAAGGGGGGCAGTGGGGGAGGAGGTGGTCGAGCTGTTGATGAGAAAAACGTGGAAACAATCGGGGGACGCACGTGTTTGATCAACTGATAGACGATTCCGTTCCATTCGCCGGTGACCGGATCCTGTGCGCCGTACTTCCGGTCCGGCACCAAGTCCAGAATGTAGTCGAACCCCACGTGCTGGGCGATTATATTCAGCAAGTCCACGCAGAATCCGTAAAACCTCGCGTTCCCCGTGTAGTTTTTCCCGTAATGCATCATCACGAATGGCGTGTCCTGGACCAACAAGTTTCGTCACAGTCCGGTTTGATATTAGGGCATGAAATTATCGTATCACGTCGAAACCTCTGCGGGAATGCATCTGAATTTCTGTGCAGTTTGACGACTCTGCACCAGATGTGGAAAAATGTTTTTCCCTCCCCTTGATACCCTCCCCAATTTTCGTGAAATTAACCTCTCCAACCCCACATCCCGGTCTCATTTTGGAAGCTTAATGCAGGTGTGTTACTCGAGCTCACAAATTGGATTTTTTTTGTCGAAACCTCGATAAATAGCGAGCAGAAGTTCAAAAAGTATCTTGGAACGAAAAATTACAGATTTTCTGTCAGATTTTTAAAGTTAAAAAATAGTAATTTTTTTTTATCAATTGATGTATTTGCTTCGAACAAAAACTGTTATACAAAGACTTAAGAAAGTAATATCTATTTGTTTTTGGAAAAATGAACTACAAGCGTCAAATTTGAGACACCACGAAAACATGCTTGATTTTGAAATTTTCCCCGCAAAGTACAAGATAAAAGTAAGAACAAAATGGGCCTGCATAGCCTCCAATCAGCACTGGAGGGGTAAGTAGTCTTGTCGTCATTGATCGGGATTTTTTTGTATGTGCAACGTTTGCCTGTGTACGTCGTGAAGGAGGTTACACTTAATGAAAGATTTGAAAACATGTATTGCGCTTACTCATAAGCTAAATTGTGTAAGGTATCTTATACTATGTTACAATCCTGCAACATGATCATATTATCACCATCCTCCGGAAAATATATCAAAAAGAGTGGTAAAAAGGTGTGTTTTAATACGAACTTTTTGAAATACACAATTTTCTATTTTTTTCAACTCGTAAATCTCGTTTAGCTCATATTACTCGAATTATTTAAACACAAACTTAGTCTTCATGCTGTAATGAGCACAAATTTGAAGACTTTTTTTGAGAGGGAAAAAAGTACAATTGGTGTGATTTTTTTTTTTTTGCATCATTTAATTTGATAGAACGCACCATCCAAATGTATTCAAAGTATCATGCATCAAATACGTTTACTATATTTACGTATATGGAGGTCTGTCAGCAGTCGTTAGACTCCATCACTATTTTTATTCCGGAAAATATGACAGCTCAAAATCCTATATANATGAGCACAAATTTGAAGACTTTTTTTGAGAGGGAAAAAAGTACAATTGGTGTGATTTTTTTTTTTTTGCATCATTTAATTTGATAGAACGCACCATCCAAATGTATTCAAAGTATCATGCATCAAATACGTTTACTATATTTACGTATATGGAGGTCTGTCAGCAGTCGTTAGACTCCATCACTATTTTTATTCCGGAAAATATGACAGCTCAAAATTAACTGGTTAATACTCAAATCTTCGGTAACTTCCGTTCACAAAGAACTCAGCTATCGAGTTCCCGGAGCTGAAATAATAAGTTACTGAGTGTAATAAATTCTGAAGTTCGTAATTTGATATGCACTCAGTGGATAATTCACGGAAGTTTCAGGAAAGAAGATTATAGAATGTAAATGCAAGATGGTTTCACTCACCAGTATAGTTATCACAATAAGAGTAACGTTCATTGTCCCTGAATCAAAAAATGCTGCATTGTCGGAGATATTCACGCCTCCAGCTGGACTCCATTCACCGACTTTAACCAGCGAGTGCTGCTTTAATTTTAAAAGATCTAGTTTAAATTGTGTGCGTTTTCCTTCTTTAAATTCTATTGGTCCGCTAAGTCCTTTTGTCTCTACCTAGAAATCATAATAATATCGGTCAAACATGTTGTAGAAGAGGTTCAAAATACATTCAGGACCTTTGTTTTTGTCGAAGAATATGCTCTGAAAATAAATAATTTTCTTCAAAATATTATATTACTTTTGATTCGTTTTACTATTTCACGACTTTTGTGTAAACATGCGCTTTAATAGATTGTAGTATTCATAATTTTGACGAGTAAAATTGATGAGGAGTATAACGATGATTAAAATTTAAAAAAAATGCATAACAGTCGATTTTATGTTCAAAATATTGAAAAATCGAGGGCATTTTGCCCATAATAATGAATCCATAATGCCAAAATGCGAGAAAACACTTTATTTGCCAAAATGGGTAGCGAGAGGGGTTGAATAGAGGCTGTAGCCTTTTAAAAAGTACTTTTTGAAAAAATGCAATGAAAAAAATAAAATATACTATTTTCACCTATGGAATACACTCTTTAAGACTGGCGTACAGTCGTTGAGTCATGGGAGAAGTCGGACATAAAATTTTTTACAAAAATTGTAAAATTTTACGTTTATCTCATCATAATTTTAATTTTAAGGAGTGCTTTTCACAGAAAATTTTACGAGAAAACCAATGAAACTACTTTAAAACACCAAAATTTCGTATTGATGAAGATATCGACGGTGTAAGTCGGCAATCACATAACTCGTTTGCGGTGTCTGAAAATCTCCGCCGCCATGTTATTTTTTTAAAGGAGAACAAATTGACATCATTCCTTGAAGTTTTTGCAGAATTTTCTTCACACAGAGAAGAAAAATCACGGCAGTTTTAAAGAATTGCCGTTGAGTAGCTTTCCGTTTAAAAAATAAAGTATGACAGGAAGTCTGCGACGTCGCACACCGAGTTATGTGATTGATTGCCGACTTACACCGTCGATATAGGCTTTTAAAGTTTTTAAAGCATGTCCGACCTCTCCTATTGACTCGATCCACTGTGTAGCGGTCTAATCTTTGGTCACCCTGTATCGTCCCGGGTGCTATATGAATATCTTAATCTTTAGGGTTCAGGCATGAAAACACAATCCCATGACCGGCGCAACGGACCCATTGACCCACTCCGAGGTGGGACGGAGAGGACGAAGGTGGTGGGCGGAACAAAACGGAACAAGCGGCCACTTACCGAATTAACGTAATTGACGAGACTGAGGCCAGCATCCCAGGGCCGCTCCTCCGAGCAGGAGATGTTCTCCAGTTTCAAAGGGTGGCTTTGCTCCAAAGTTTGGAGCCCGACCGCGAACACGTGAACCGAATCGTAAACCAACGCCGGCTCCGCCTGCCAGCATTAAAAGCTTAGTTAGCATTTGTTCTCGTACGCACAGTATTACGCCTTTAAAAACCGCTGCCCCGCGCCAACCCCCGCCCCGGCAGGGAAGGGGGATCCGTCAATTATAAGCGCTTTACACGCACCCTTGCCGGACTGCGCGTGGGTGAGGGTTCAAACCCCCGAGAGCATGAGAACATAATCCACGGAGGGGTGTTCTTTTTTATATATCGATGGCCAAAGTGCGAAACCGCGTATCACCGTGTGTGACGTTGCGTACTAGGGGTCGTCCATAAATTACGTGACGCACTTGAGGGGAAAAGGGTGCTAGAGTGTTACGCCATTCTATTTTTACGTATTAACGAAGCGGGTGACATGGAACGTAAGAAAGAAATAAAAGATAGGAAATTTCAAAGAAATATTTCATTAATTCAGGGGCTAGAGTATGCAACCGCACTCACACACATTAAAATAGAAAAAAGTCACAATTTCTACATTTGGTGACACATGAAAAGGAACCGGTATTTTTCAATATCGTTCATAAACTTCTGAAATTTAATGCATCGTTTCACGTGAAATTTCAATAATTTATTTTTCATGAAATTTTGCCACCCTTTAAACGAATACAGATCTACGTCACAAAAGCGTTACAAGGGGGGAGAGGGTTGGGGTCGAAAATGCCGAAAAAGAGCGTTACGTAATTTATGACCACTCCCCTACTTACCGCCCTCTATTTTTTCTTTGTGAAACTAGTCAACGATATTTTCTTGAAAACTTCTTTTTTTTCCTCTCTTTTGACAGAGTATATTCTATTTCAATTACAAGCGATGAAACTAGCTTGTTTCTCCTCGAAAAAAAATGCGGGAGCGGAAATTTGGAAACATCGCAATTGAGGTACGGGCGGTTTCGCACTTTGGCTTTCGATATACATACAAAGGTTATTGTGATGCAAATTTGGAGATGCCTTTGAATTAAAAGGCGATGATTCAATGAGAGACATCGATGTAAAATTTTAGCATTCAAACTGCATTTAAGCATTAAAATTCCCTCGTGAAACCAAAAGTATGTCTAAAATAATTTTCAAGTGTATAAGCAAGATACTCCGAGGATGCTGTTACACTAAGTCTGACATTATTTTATATTTTTTTTTTTCAATTGTAAAAACATTGCTTAAAATATCGTCATCAATAATTAAACTGTTATAGCCAATTCTGCACAGTTTACTCGCTTCATCGAGAGATAATCTGATTCATACATTTGAAAAATCTTTCAGGATCAAATCAATTTCTTTGAAAGGTCCGAGCCTCAATATTTGCTCCCTTTTTCTCTAACTCGAGGTGGCAACGTAGCACTTGCATTCAGAGCAGCCTAGTTTTGAGTGACATCTTTTTGTTGAAACAAAAGAAGGTGGAACATGTCATTTGAGTCTGCCGTACTAAGGAAAATCGCGGTTTGAACATTCATCGTTGCCAAATTTCTTCCGAAAAAAATATTTATTTTTGGAGAAAGTTATGAAAAATTCTCCTCGAAACAAATACCTTAGGCTAAATTGCGGATAAAATGGGTACATTTAAAAATTGACAAAAGAATATTTACAAGATTCCCTGAAAATTCGTTTCTTATCCAACAAAATTCGGCAACGTCTGAAGGCTCATACGGCGTTCTTCCTTAGCACGGAAATATTGCGGAGGGTGCGCTAGAGCTAATGCCACTTCGATCGCGTTTTTATATCAAGCAGTTGCATAATCGCACATTATCTTCAGAAGTATTAATAAAAGGGGAGCACAACCCAAAAAATCCATCACTGGAAAAAAACTTATTGGATCTAGAGTCCAGACTCTTAAAAACACCGACAAGAAAAAATACTCTTGATTCAGTCAGATGTAAGCTTAAATCAAGAACCAAGCCTCTTAATTTGAGCGGATTTCCTTTTGATTTAAGCTTAAATCTGATTGAATCAAGAGTCCTTTTTCTTGTCAATGTTTTCAAGAGTCTGGATTCTAGATCCAATGTGTTTTTTCGTCCAGTGATCAGTTGTTGTGAGTAAGAATAAAGCTGCTATAATTTCTGACATTTAAATTGTATTTGAAAACTTTAAATGTTTTTCATTTGGTCTGGTATGGACATGTGCGAAGGATGGCAGATGATCGGTTGCCCAAGCAGGTCTTCGATTGGGTTCCTCCCGGAAGGCGACGGCGTGGACGTCCTGTGAAAGGTTGGCGACAAGGGGTGGAGGAGGAGATCAGAAGGTGCCAATTGCCTGATGATCTCTGGGAGGATAGGGGGCAATGGCGATTGGGCGTCGCAGAGCGCGAGGCGGCGCTATAATCGCGACTTTATGTATGTATGTATGTAAATGTTTTTCATGGGAAATTTTAATGAGATTACATCAATTACATGGTTAGGAGTTTTACGGTATCCAGGGATTTATTATTCGGAGATCCAGCGAACAAACAGCAGGATAACTTTCAATCAAGTAAAAGACTCCCCAAAGATTTAGCTCAGAGTAAAATGAATCGATAGATACAGAGCTATCAAAACTCAGGAAAAATATTTTGCTCCGACCGACATAATTTTCGTGAGATGAATCGGCGAAAATCTCGGTGAGTGCAAGTGAACTCAACGTCTTTTACTCCTCTGATAAATACACCCGCAAGTTGGCAGAAAGATGAACGGGTGCAAGGGTGCCATTTTAGAGGAGATCTCTCGGATTCACTCAGCGATTAAACGGAAAATAGACGATTTTCACCTTAAAATTGGCCACACTGACAACGGGATGGTCGATTTAACAACAAGAAAGTTAAGACATCAAACAGTTTCCCCTCCAATATTGAGGTGAACGAATATACGAGTAAACTTTCAATATTTCTAGGTCCGTTACCTCCATTTAAGTTTTGTCAGGGCCTAGATAAGGATGCCTTCGGATAGCCGCTTTTCCGGGAGTAGTTTTAAACTCGAAACTTTAAAACATATTCTAAGAATGAAAAGACTCCGCTTACGAGAAGTCAGATCTCGTTATTGTCAGAAACTTAGAAATAAGAAACTCCTGAAATTTTGATATTAATTTCTGGCGAAAGAAGAGAATGCAAGGCGTAGAAAGTCTTGCGAAAATTTGCGTCGAAGAGGCATTTCTTAAAAATCAGATAATTCTCTAAGCTGAATGGAGGAATTGGCTTTAAATAAAAATGCGAAACGTTTAGTTAAAGTAGGACTATTTTCATAATTTCAGAATTGAGGAAGTGGTGTGGCAGGTGAACTTACATTTTAAGCAAGGGTTATTTACGAAGCAAAAGTTTCAAATAAGGCAAGGAGAAAGGGTGAAGGGTTAGGAAATCTTTAGCAGCTCTATTTTCATTTCGTAAATGGATAGATCGAACCACTAGATTGATCAAATTTGTTTAATGATGCGCAATTAGTCTTACAGATAACTACCCCAAATTGGGCGCTGGAAATTGCATGAACCGTAATTGAAGTTCGTCTTTGCTCAATCAAGTGCTCAAGATAAAGCAGCTCCCAGATTATGGATAATGCATAATGACCTCTGACCTGAAATGCCACGCGATTGTACCGCTTCACTAGTTCCTTGTAACGGTTGGTAAGTGGCGTTAATTCAGAGAGATCTCTCTTATGCTTTCCACATTAATCCGAAAGTCGTAAATTGAAATGGTGAAATAAGAGTACCTTGTACATTGGCGTGATAATCATGTGAGAAAAGTTATTAAGAAAGGCTTGCCTTACGAAGTTATTTAATTAGCGTTTGCGCGTTGCTCCTCGAACAGGTATCTTGAACTCGAGCAAAATATTTATTTCTCGTTATTGAAGGTGCAATATTTCGTATGTATATGGAACAAGATAATTGCAACCTACTTCTTCTTATTTCTGCGTTTTGGTTGTGTTTCAATAAGAATTTTCAAACTCTCAATACCTAGTAGAACTTTTTCCTTTTTCGCTACTGCACGATAATCAATGCATACATTCAGATTGGAAAGTTTTTAATTTTTAAGGTTACCTTGATTAGACTAAGAAGACTGTGATTGGACGGCGAGGATGACCCATCAGGCTGAAACCGCGCCATGTCTTTGAAGATTTCCCGAACTCCTACGTCCTCGGTATCAATAATTCTAAACGCAGTCATATTGACAAAATTGTACTTGAAGTCCTCTAAATCAAATGTTTCAATATCCTGCAAACCATATATACTTACTTTATTGGTACACTTAAGACAATATACACAAATTATTTATTAAGAAACATATTTTCGTAAAAGCCATTATCAATAGAAATCGATTATTTTTAAGGCCCTTGTTCAATAGAACATGGAAAAAAATACAAATATTCATATGACTATCCCCCAAAAGAGAGACTATGGAAAATTTAAAATTAAGATACTGATCAAGTTTTCAACGAATGTTTTGGCATAAAAATGATATGCCGAAAGGAGATGGTGACGTTTTGAAGTTTATAGTTTGAAAATGGCACTACCGAGAAACCGGTATTGAACTATTCACTAAAAAAAAGTGTAGTTGATTTAACGTTCTGGATGTAAAAAAAAAGTGTGCGAGAACTTAGAAAATGCTGAACTATAACTGCAACAGCAGTCACTTTAGCAATGTCAGGATGTAAAACTAACTACCGTGGCGGGTAATTGAGCATTTTGTGAGTTCTTGCACACTTTTTTTTACATCCAGAATGTTCAATCAACTTAATTTTTTTCCTGTGATTAACTCATCTTTAGAGCCCAAAATTGTTGGATTCAATTTAGTGCAAGTTATTACCGTCGATAAGATGAACGCAAAATGGACCACTAGACAAGATACGAATTTAAGCAATCTGATACATGTTTCTTAACCAGAATTTCACGTAAAACACGATTTGCACAACGAAAATTACCGAAATCAACTTCTAACGAAGATATTAACGTTTTTATTTCGCATTGATAACGAGGAATTTGAACTGCCCGCTCACAAGAAACTCAAAGCTCTACGTGAGTCAAATAGCGCACTACAACGGTTTCAGCAAGCTTCTCAATCGAGCAATGTTCATTTCCCACCATGTGTTGTTCAAACTATTGGTAATTTGCTATAGCTGAGCCGAAGTGTCAAGATTGAAGTTAAAGATTTTTACATCGCAGAGACTGTCATGATAAACATTTAGCGCGCGATGTGAATCACGTAGAGCATTGAGTTTTCATGAGCGGGTGGTTTGAATTCACGCATCAAGAATCATTAAATATCTTCGTCAGGAGTTGATTTTGGTAATTTTCGTTGTGCGTATCGTGTTCTACGTGAAATTTTGGTTAAGAAACATGTATCAGAATGCTGAAATTCGTACCTTGTCTAGTGGTCCATTGTAATTTTTTCGTTTCTCTTTCTTCTTTCAATTTACGTTTCAATTCAGATTAAATGAGAGTATTTGAAGCATGATTTGATTTAATTGTGTCACTGTGAGGTAACTGAGGTATATTTGAAAAGCTCAAATCGCAAGTCGTTGATCAAGTGGTCAGCGTAGTCAAATTTTTGGAGTTTACTCACTTTTATTTTTGGTATGATGACGAAATTAATTAACGTTTGCGTGATAGAAATTTAATTCTCATCATACCTATTATTCTGCTGCTATTTATCAATACAACCAAGATCATATCGCAGATTACTGTTATCTATCCGATTCAAGCATGTACTTATCCGTGTAATAGGGACATTCATCATATTTTACCAGCACTCATGAAAGTTTCATTGTCAACGCTCTCTGGGTCAGTGGCGTGGCGTGAATTGCGATGTATCGATTGTTATGCCATTTAAACCTATGGTAAAGAATCGATTATTAAGGTGTTCGCTGCGAACACCCTGTTTATCTATCCTTTTCCATAGGTTTAAATGGAATAACAATCGATGTATCGCAAAGCACGCCACGCCACTGCTCTGGGTACCTGCATGTGTACCGCCGCTCTCCCGAGCAAATATTGAATCGTTCGCATGGCACCCTATCATTCAATAATGTTATTTATGTTTTAAACTCGATTAAAAGTATGCATGCAGGAGATAGTTTGTTTCGATTTATATTGCGGTCATATCTACAAGTAATTTAATTTGTTCCGGCGTGGGACATCTTTTTTGACGTTCAATGAATTGTATGGACCGATAATTGGACGTAGTTCTACCAAAGAGACCTATGTGGAAGTGAGAAATATGGGGTGTGCTCGTTCGTTCTCTGGCCGTAAGAGTGAATGAGAATAATTGTGCGCCAGTGACGTCAACGGAGGAGGACGCCGCGTCACGTTCCTCGTGGTTGCGGTAGTCGTGGTCATTAACTCATGAGCCCTGTCCACAAGGCTCTCTTGCCATGCCCGCGGCTCATGAGTTCCGCATTCAGTTGCACATAGGTCTGTTTGATAGAATGCAATATCCCGCTTTGCCAATTCTTCAAAAGGAACCACGCCCACTTTTACATTGCTTCTTATGCAGCTTCCACGAGCACACCCCACATTTCTCATCGCCACATAGGTCTGTTTGGTAGAAATACGTCCAATTGAGGGTATAGTGAGGGGGTTTTTGATAGCTGATCATCAGTAAAAGATCGTTTCCATAACGTAAGAAAACTATTTGTTCCGAGCAAAATTTTATTTTTTCTCTTTAGGCTAATCCACTGAATTAATTACATTTCAATAGAACTACCACGAAGGTAAGAAGTATTTAATAATAGCAGACAAATGCTTGAAATGAACAGTTGAAAATGGATAACATATTTTGTTTTGATTATTTGGATCATTAACCGATCTTGAAAACTTAATTTTTCCTTAATTTTTATGCATTCCTATGTAACACGTGGTACGTAAGTGCTTAATTTTTGTGGTCAAATATATAGGTCCTGAATTTCTACTCGTGCATAATACATTTTTGTAGGAATATCATGAATTCCGACCGTTGACATTTTCCATTTTTAGTTTAGTTTCATCGATTTGGTAATGTTCCTCTATTTAATAAATTGATATCCAGAACGTAAAAGTTTTTGATCGGTAAACTATTTCCAACTACTTAAATGAAAAATTCACTTTTATATATTTTAGCTGCATGTAAAAGAACAGATATACTCACAAATGATGTAAATAGGTAGTGGAATTTGAAGTCATTCATTTGCAGCTGTAAAATCTGAAACATAAAAAAGGCACAAATAATGATGATAAAAAAACTTAAATTATTATCTCATCGATGCCACAACCACCTATGGCCGTCGGTTTTTCTAAAGAGTCTTCCATCTACTACTGACTTTATAACCATTATCTGAAAATTGCATGATATTTTACATCAGGTGGTACATTGAGGCGTATCATGCAAGGTGTCCTCTAGTTAAATCGCTGGATTGCAGGCGAGTCGCAATGAGAATGTTTCCTCCTAAAGTAACCGTAGTTAAAGCCGCGGTCTCCAGACCCTACGAATTTTTGGGATTGTGTTTTTTATATTCCTCCTGAATTTTTGCGACGGTTATAGAGCAAAACTCATGAAAAATGGCTCTCTTACCTGTTGAACTCCCTGAAATTCCCATATAACTTGAAATTTCAATAATTTTGAAGCCATGGAAAGTTGCACTTTAACATAATAACTTGCAGCCATTTTACAAGAGTTCTAGTCCATTATCGCCGTGAAAATTTACAAAAAAGAAAAAACCCCGAATATTTCAAGGGTCCTATATTTTTAATCGCGAGGACATCTTTAGTGAAGGAATACATTTTTAGTGGAGAATAATAATATTTTGACTTTCAAAACACCCTCTTGCAGCTGACCGCTTAACCAGTGGCGATTTTGCAAGTTGGCGAAACTGTATCCCCTCCATTTTAATATGTCGATTTTAGGTGACCGAGAATCGATTATTTTACATCCATTTAAATGGTGGAAAAAACTGTTGCTATCTTTCAAGAATCGCTACCGCGTTCAACCCATGAACGCATGCACCCTGTAAATGCACATTTTTACAGATAATTAATATGATACAAATATTTCACATGATATTCAGTCAGGTCTTTAAATATGTCGATTTTAGGTGACTGAGACTCGATTGTTTTACATCATTCAAACACTGAAAAAAAACACACACACATTGGATCTAGAGTCCAGACTCTTGAAAACATCGACAAGATAAAATACTCTCGATTCAATCAGATTCAAGCTTAAATCAAGAACCAAGCCTCTTAATTTGAGCGGATTTCCCTTTGATTTAAGCTTAAATCTGATTGAATCAAGAGTATTTTTTCTTGTCAATGTTTTCAAGAGTCTGGACTCTAACTCCAATGTGTTTTTTTTCCGGTGAATGGTGGAGAAAACTGTAGCTGTCTTTCAAGAATCGCCACTACGTTCAACCCATGAACATATGCACCCTGTATAAATGCACATTTTACAGATATCAACCGAAGAAATCCAATAAAAAAAGAAGGAATTTCAGAGAAAAAAGGCAAGGGAGTGAAGAAATACTCACTCCGCGAAGAAATAAATGCATATTCTCGGGTTTGGTGTCGATGAGTAAGTTGTGAATTTCCTTGCTTTTAATTTCCTTCAGAACGTCGCGGTAGGTCGCCGGCTCGGCCTGTCGCAGATGCAATTCCACGTCCCGTCGCCCCGGTGCCCTGATCAGCTCCCTGAGCTTCATCAAACCTGAAACATCATTTTAGTCGCTCCTTGATTTATTGACTCAAAGCTCCTTCCTGGAAATCAACCGCCTCCAGCAGTGTTTATAGTGAAAGGGAACCCACCTTCTTGGAAAAGGTGTGGTCTCCTCGTTGAGCGTGGTTAGTCGGTGGAGTAGGTTGTGAACTTTTGCTGGAGCGGAAAGTTGAACCGGTGCTAATAACAAATGACTCAAAAATTACATGGAGCCCCTAGCGAAAATATTACCTTGCGGTGAGCTAACCATCACCTTGCGGCAAGGTGTCGGCCTTGCCACCCTCTTCGAGCCCTATCCGAGCCCTCGCCGGGTCAGTTCGTGGAACTTAACGACTGGGAATAATTCGACGGTGAAACTACCAAACCACGTATCTCGGTTTGCGACGTCGCAGACTCCCTGTCATACTTCATTTTTTAAATGAAAAACTCCTGAACGTCCGGTCTTAAAAATTTCTGTGATTTTTCCTCTTCGTGCGGAGAAAATTCTGTGAAAATGTCAAGGAATGATATTGATTTGGTCTACTTTAAAAAAATAAAATGTGAGCGTAGATTTTTAAACACCGCAACCGAGATACGTGGTTTGGTAGTTTCACCGTCGAATTATGCATGGCAACGTTGGAGACGAAAATCAAGCCCAACACGGGGTATTTCCCGATGCTGTGTCGCCTTTTTCGCGCCCTGCGTCTGGATTTGGGTCTACAGTGTTGTCATACGGTTTTATTCCCGGTCGTCGAGTTCCTTGAACTGGCTCGGCGAGGGCTCGGATAGGGCTCGGAGAGGATGGCAAGGCCGATACCTTGCCGGGCCGCAAGGTGATGGTTAGCTCACCGCAAGGTAATATTTACTCTAGGGGCGCACCTTAAAAAAGTGTGAAACTCACTCCGAATTTCACAAGATGCGTATTTTGGCGTTTTTGAACTTCTTATTTATCAAAAATACACGATGACAAGGACATGCATTTGATCAAAATGCGCCACCCCAAGTGCACGACTCTATGTAAAACTCAAAATAACCGCCATCATGTGACGCGGATTGGTTTAGTTTAAAAGTATTAAAATTATAACACACATTTTCGCTTTACTGATTTTCAAGTAATTTTAAGATTGTTTTTGAGTGAAACTCGGCATCAAGGAGTATTTTTTGACGAGGGCTGTCTTTGACAAGGAATAGGAACCTCTCGGCATAAAAAATTCAGCCATTCAACATTTGTATACATTAAAGATGATTACTTTATTTTAACGCGAAATGTCATTTGAGGCTGCTTGTAACATTAACATGGCATTTGCATTTTGAATTCGGCCCCTGCAGAGCTAATCTGCCGTGCTAAGGAAGAACGCCGTATGAGCCACCAGACGTCGCCAAATTGCCTTCAATAAACACCGAATATCCAGGGGAAATTGTGAATATTTTACTCCAAAATTTTCAGACAATCTCGTGCACACTTTAATCTAAAATATCTGAAAATATTAAAGAAAAATGTGCACGAATGTTGTCAAGAATACATGTTATATCAAGGGAAATTTGGCAACTCTCGAATGTTCATACGGCGTTCTTCCTTAGCACGGCAGTAATAGCACTTGAACTCAACATATCGAGAATCCACTCTCCGTAGGTCGCGGTCGGATCAATGTAAAACGCCTTCAAATGCGCGTGATACTGTGCAACACACCAAAGTTTAAATAGTTGTATTCTTAGGTTGGAACCTAACTCGAGTAAAATTCTCTTCCAAATAAGGCATGCCAGCCTGTTAACTGTTGTATTTCAAATCATCTCGCATGATGTACGCCCATTATTGCCCGGGACAAAAATTTAAGCATTAATTCATTTAAAAAAGAAAGAAAGAATTATCATAATTGTTAATGTGGCCGACGAAAGAGGTCCACCTGAAGGGAAACTTGTTCTAGAAACTTGCATGCATTTTGAGCGCACTCGTTGTATGTAGGGAGATGGGTTATTCGAAAGGAAACTCAAATTTTAAGTCATATTCTCAAATTATTAAAATTCAAAATGGCGTGCGTGGCCTAAAATGCTGTTTTGGCCCCTGGCTCTATTGATTTTTGTAAAACTCAAAATGAAAGGGTATTTTTTGGAGTAAACACGAATTTTTAGTCAAAGTTTCAAAAAAGTTATAAGTATCATTTCTTAAAAGTTCTATACATACACAAGAGTCGCTCTCACAGCGCTCTCCGGCGCTCTGCGACGCCTAAACGCCACAAAACTCGGTCCTCCCACAGATCATCAGGGAGTTGGCACTCCCTCATCTCATCCATAACCCCCTGTCGCCAACCTTTCTCCGGGAGTTCTGTACTAGTTAAAAGTTCTATACTAAGGATAAAGAAACACGCGATTTAGAGTGCACAAATTATCTGGTAAAACATAATTTTAAAGTCGATCAGTAGAAAATATGCTAACTTCTTTTACGGTATAAGGGCGCAACGCTCACCGTAATCTTGTTCATATATGATGGCTACTTTTGTCCAGTTGAGATAACTCATAACATCTTGATAGGCACGATTCAAGAGTGACTGAGCTGGATACAGATTTACTGAGAGTTCCCGACTCTCCTCATCCAGGTCCAGTCGAGCCTCAATATGTGGTATATCTAGTGCATCGCATATCGAGTGGATATGTGCACCTAAAATAGGATCTGTCGGCCCGAATATCGCTTGTACTCCATGTTGAACTTGGAAACACGCTGAAACCACAATATAAAACTGACAGGTTAGATATATTATTTTGAATTATTTTCATGAATCATTTGATGGATTAGCTGGATATCATGGAACATGATTAACAGAATTGAAAAAAAAAGCCTTAATGCGAATTTGTAATACATTTTTGAGGCCGATTGAACCGGATTCAGCGAAAAAAACCCAGCGAAATTCCAGTGTTGTAAAAATTTTGCTCCTTCATAATTATATAAAAAATTTCCCAGAACAGCAAATCTTTTATGCTTCCTACCAAAAAATTGTCAATTTTAAAGGGGAATAATTGTGTAAATTTTAATACCGTACAATACCGTGCATACATTGAGTATTTTTAAAAGAAAAAAAGAAGTTGTACAGTTTTGAAAACAGTGTTACCGCGCTGGTTCCTTTTTGTTAAATGCGATCCAATTGATCGTCTTATCAAACTCTTCAAAAGTCTTCAACGCAAGGTTGTCTCAGCAGATGCACGGCCTTTAAGGTATTACGCACAGCATAAGATATTATTGATCTCCATTCTTTAAATACAAAAAATTTAACGTTAAACATGCGAGCTAATGACTTTTAGGTGAACAATCAAAACCGCACAGTAAACCAACGAAGAGGTATGTAAAATCAACCAAAAGAAGTAAGAGCCTCTGTTGGGATGTAGTTAATTTTTGAGGCATTCCTCTAAGATTCGACACAACAAAAATAAGAGTAATTTCATTTCCAGCACCCTAAGAGGTCAGAATATTTGAAACGATACCTTTTTTTGATGCGTGAAAACTGTCGTCGGTGGGCACATATTGGATATCGTAAACTAGTTTTGAGTGCGGGAGTAGATGCTCGTCTCTGTTGATTTTGTCCACTGCATAGACGAAGGCATGCTCGGTGCTTGAGTTCTTCTGATCCTCCGTGAATATTGCTCCTGCGCATACAATATAAGAAGTGTTCTCAAAAAATAAATAAATAAAAAAATAAATAAATAAATAAATGAATAATGAAATAAAATAAAATAAAGTCAAATGCAATAAAATATAATAAAATACAATGTAATAGAATAGAATAAAATGAAATACATACAAATAGAATAAAATAACTAATATTAAATATAATAAAATAAAATAAATTAATATAAAATATATTAAAATAAAATAAATTAATATAAAATATAATAAAATAAAATAACATTATTTATTTAAAAAGAACCACGGAGTTTTGAGGGTCGACTATACGAGAAGTTCTTGAAATTTTAAAGTTTAAGTCATACCTGTTACTCTGGTACCTTCTAAAATTCAATAGCTAAAAACTTCGTCACTCAAAGGAATACAATCACACACATCGTTAACGTATATTCAGTCACATAAGCAAACAATTTACAGATAAGCTAAATAGAGGAGACAATTTTAATTGATTCGTCCTCTATTCAAAACTTTCGGTTTCGAAAATCACGGTTCCTCCATAAAATTTTACCCTGCGAACTTTGATGTTTTTTACCATAGTAAGGCACAGATAGAGGTTTCAATGCCCAAGTCTTACCCTCGACTGTGTCGGAAAGCGTATTTTGCCGCGCTAAGGAAGAACGTCGTATGAACGTTCGAGAGTTGCCAAATTTCCTAAAATTAAGCACGTATTTTTGAGGAAAGTTATGAATATTTTTCCTTGAAATTTTCAGGTATTTTCGATCACATTGCTAACAATATCGTCTGAAAAATTTGAAACACATTTAAAAAGTTCTCCGGTAAATTCGGGTTTCATCGAGGGAAATCTGGCAACGCCTGGAGGCTCATACTGCGTTTTTCCTTAGCACGACAGTATTGCTGCTTCAACTCTGTCTCTTCGAATGAATAATTAATCGCATCTTCAGATGAGCAACTTTGTTCATTTTTCAAGCGCGGATCTCGGATTTCGTCGGCTTGGGTGACATGAATGCCTGAAAAGTCTTACCTGAAACTTTTCGCCGCACAGTGGATCGAGTTCATCAGGGAGGTTGGACATGAAATTTTTGACTAAAACTGCGAATTTTGATGTTTATTTCGTCAGATTTTAAATTTTAAGGAGTGCTCCTTGAAGAAAATTTCACAAGGTAACCATTGGAGCCACTTTTAAAATCCCAAAGTTTTATATACACGGAGTTGTACGCGTTTAAAGTTTCCAAATTTTGTCCGACTTCTCTTATTGACTCGCTCTACTGTCCGCCGGTTTCCACCCGCGTTCGGGAAATCGCCGGATGAAAGTTAGACATAGTTCAGGAGGCAGCTTTAGCTTTTGAGACTCATCCAAAGTGAACGAAAGGATAAATTTCCTTTTTTTGAAGAGAATAGCAAGGAGTAAAATGATACTGTTAAATCCTGCCCAAACTCGATGTGCAGATACGAGACCAATGCGATGATGGATATTTCAGATTTTAGAATGCATCACCGGTTTGCGGGCATATAATATACATTGTATTTGTATTGTGTATATTTGTTATGTGTCACTTGATCTACAATATCACAAAATTTCGGTTATAATAAAATTTTTGAAACAGGAACAAAAGAAACATTGAATGCCATGGCTCGACTAAAACTATACCAGTGGCGTGGCGTGCTTTGCAAAATGCATCGATTGATCTGCTATTTAAATTTATGAAAGAGCATCGATAAACATCAGGGTGTTCCTGTATACTCGACCTTAACAATCGATTCTTCACCATAGCTTCAAATAGGGGCTTATCGATAAATCGATCATTCACGCCCCGCCACTGAAAACTAAGTTTATGCGATGAAAATTCCCTCCTATTTCAATATTTAATTCAGTGAGCCTTTCCTTCCTTTAACAAATGTATGACGATATCATCTGGGAAAATTTTAAAATACAAAAATTGCGAAAATTCACAGATAACTACGATCATACGCAGCAAATTCAGTGACCAATCAGCTTTGAAAATCTGAGGGAGAACTTTAAGATATTACTTAAAACATTCGCAAAGCCGGTGATTTCCACCATCGATGACAAAATTCAAGCTTTTGCTTTGACGAAAATACGTTGAATTCTAATTGAACTCTCACATAAGGTGCAAGGGATTGATTTTAAGTCTTCATAAAGTAAACAGTAACGTTTTTATGTTCAGAGGTGAAAAGAATCAATGAACGATAATACATAGATGGATGAATCTATAAAAAGACGCAGCACCTCGCTGAGGTTACCCGAGGAGGGAACCTGCTAAAGTTTACAAAAAGTGAATACATCTGACCTTCAATTCTTTTTTATTTATGACTGAGAGACTCATACGGAAAAAAATATTTATGGAGATCAAAACATACTGATGACAGATCCAAGATTTTATTGAAAATGAGGCGATACCTTATTGGCTCGTGTTCCTGGAATCCGCACAATAAATTATTTTGCCCCAGCGCACGATTCGTTGTTTCCCAAGCGAAAAAACGTAACTCAATTCCATGGTTGTAAAATTGTGGAACAATTAAAGTTTTTAAAGGATGTGGCTGCGCAGTTATTGTCAAAGATGTTGCTGATTTTTGCGTGTAAGAGAAAAAGCATTGAAATATTCAGTTAGAATTGCCTGAAAGTTTCTAAGATTGACCAATAGACAGGGTCAAAGTTTATGAATTCTTTTACATTCGTCTTCATGATAGTTCCTAGTAGAAAACAATTATCTATACCCCCTCACAAAAAATACCAAAGTCTACGAGAGTAAGATTGCCCATTAAATCTGTTCTGGCGGATTTACAAATGAAAAATGTCCATTGTGTCCATCTGTGGTTTCTTCGTGTCATGCCTTTTGTGCTTTTTGAAAAAAAGTTTTAGTGAATTTTTTCATAGCCGGAGGCAGCGTTCGGTGTGCAATTTGTTTCTAAAGGGTTCAAATTTTTGGACAAGTATAGGCCTCGTCTCACGGGACGTTTTCATGAGATCTGTATCCCACGAAATAGTCTCACCTCCAAAAACGGGACAAATATTGACGAATTCAATATTCTAGCAGTGTTTGTGTACAGTGTACACCTTGTAGCGATCCGAGACCAGCTAAGATGTACAGGAAGAAGAAGTGAAAGCAAATTATGTGATATTTTGTTGCTCACTCGATTGTTCGTGTTTTTTCCATTAAAATAATGTGTGAAATTATTCGTTGTATTTACTTGATATTCATTACATCGCCAGTTTTCAATCAATTATTTTCCAACTCAAACTTGTCCCGGAGACGCGAGAGCCCTGTCCCGTGGAGATGGTAGTCGCGAAAAATTTCTGAAGTTCCATCCCCATGATTCGACCCTATGAGATGAATCTCATGAATACGTCCCGTGGAGACATAAGGTCATCCAAGTAATACACTGAAAAACATAATATGCTGTTTTAGCACCTAGGATGTCAAAAATGTGTCTGTTGATTCCAAGATGCTGTCATTGCTGCCCTCGCAGTTAACTTTACATCCTGTGAATGCTAATTCAACTGCGTGGGCAATCAAGGCAGCATCGTAGGATCACCAGACACATTTTTGACATCCTAGGGGCTAAAACAGCGTACCATTTTTTTCAGTGTATGTGACATAATACTCGTACTGAAATTTAAACTTTGTCCGGCGGTCGATTTTCTAAGTGAAATTTTACAATATCGAATTGCAGTTACGTGTTTTCATCTGAAAAGCGACGAGCCGAGCAACCCAAAGCCAGGAGCCGTGACTAATCCAAAATGCAACACCGATACGGGAGTGGTAAAATAGTTACGAAGCTCGTATACATCGCGACCGGGGATAAATCACGCGATCCCGAAAGAAAAACTGAGAGTTAAACGAGGAGATATAAATAACGACCGCCCCGGACTAATGTTATTCGGAAACCTTTTCTCCGAAAGTATTTTCAATTTGCCGGCCCCCGGGCTGACGAGGGCGGGGGAGGAGATAAGGGGAATTGAAAAAAATGAATTGGCACAACTTGAGGAGCGAGCTGAGCAATTCATAAAGCTCCTGCCTTGGGAGCGGCATTCAGATAACTTCTCAAAAAAAAATGTCGAGTGCCAAAGTAGTTGGAACCGTCTATTTGAAACGTAAGATTAGGGCAGATATGACGCTCTATTAATCCTCCCGCGACTGAGAGTGAGCAATGGAGAAAGATAGACGACCCCCTCCCGCCCCCTTATTTCCTTACGTGCCCCCGCTATCCGCTGTGCATGACCCCCTGACCTGAGAAAATATTTTGCTGGCTACCGAAAGGGGAGGGGAGTTTATCATCTGTCTCTGTTTCTTTCCCTCTAATCATGGTCGAATCCCAGTTACATGCGGGTCAATTGACCGCAACCGGACATGATTTAGGTACTGTGGGGTGATTATTGAAATCGGTAGACATAGCTATAGACCAAATTAGGATATGGAGGGATACTATTGGTAGAGGCGGGTGGTTGGACAAAGGAAGTAGATAGTAGACTAACGGCAACCCATGATAGACCCTTCAGTTAGTCCATCGTGTTTTTCCTTGGTCTGTAAAAACTACTCATTTCAAGTAATAAGATCGCTCTATACTATCCCTATTTCTTCTTTGTCTTTCGCTTTGTCTATCAATTTCAACAATCAGCCCGCAGCAGAGCTAATAGCACTTGAACTCAACATATCGAGAATCCACTCTTCGTAAGTCGCGGTCGGACCAATATAAAACGCCTTCAAATGCGTGTGATACTGTGCAACACACCAAAGTTGAAATAGTTGTATTCTTAGGTTGGAACCTAACTCGAGTAAAATTCTCTTCCAAATGAGGCATGGCAGCCAGTTAACTGTTGTATTTCAAGTCATCTCGCATGTTGTACGCCCATTATTGCCCGGGACAAAAATGTAAGCATTAATTCATTTAAAAAAGAAAGAACTATCATAATTGTTAATGTGGCCAACGAAAGAGGTCCACCTGAAGGAAAACTTGTTCTAGAAACTTGTACGCATTTTGA